GAATCTCTGACACTCATCCAGTTCTAGCTGTACTGTAAACCTGACACGATGCCTGTTTTTTACGGAGTGGTATTACTCTCACTGATTCTCGCGTTGTGCACTTGTTGCAGTTGCCTCTGCAAACGAGTACGCTTTGAAAGGATTGGATAAGATGGAAGAAAAGTTGCCTATTCTTCACCAACCAGCAGACAAGGTCAGAATATTTTAATGTAGCATCAAAAAAACCTAACCCTATTGTGCTTAAATGCTGTCATAAAAATCCAAAATGATAGACTTGATAAAGAAAACAGCTCTCTGGCCTCCATGTGCTTGTTTTCTTCGTATTGGTGCATTCTGGATGATTTTGACAATACAGAAAACTCAAAATGCTTCGCTGATCATTGCAGATTTACCTCTTTTCCACTAACGTGTTGTCACTGCTGGCACTAATGCAAACTGAGTAGTGGCAGCATTTTACAGCAGCATGAGCACAGTTTATCAGCTAGCATTAATGATAAACACTGGGGTAATTTCAGAGGAAGAAAGTCGTGGCAGAATTTTATTTATTTATTATAGTCGGCACCAAATCGAGCTCCGGCACCACGTTGGTTTTCAAAAGAAGGTAATTATCTTATCTCGACTTCTTCAGGTGGTGTCAGACACAGTGGGAATGGTGTACCAGTCTGTGGCAGGGGCCAAAGAAGCCGTGGTGGGGGCTGTGATGGGTGGCGTCGAGCTGACCCGGGCAGCAGTCAGCGGAGGAATCAACACAGTCATGGGCACCAGGATGGGCCAGATGGTTAGCAGTGGGATGGGCCTGGCCCTCAGCCGATCCGAGGACTGGGTCGACCAGAACCTACCGCTCACTGAGAGGGAGCTGGGTCAGTAGCTGTGCTAATCACTTCATCGAAAACACTGGGTGGTAATGAACCCGTTTGCCTGTTGTTGAATTATATGAATGTGTCTTGACAGATAAAGGTTTAAAAAATGAATAATTGAGATTATCCCAAAAAATAGGTCATAAAAGCAGGATGAGGTAATCTGGTGAAATGGGGGGTGGTCATCATGACTGTTGAATTCGACCACCGTGACTGAACACGTGGATGGTCGGTGCTATTCATAGAGAGGCAGGGCATTCCAGTGAACTTCCCTTCTGTTAACTTGGCCCAAAAAGTACCTGCAATTTCCAGCACTCGCAGCTTTGACACCTGCTACTGTGATGTCATGTTATCATGACAACCTGCCATACTCCACTGTGGAAGCTGTGAAAGAGCCCCGTCTCTGATTATGGCTATGTGGCACAATTGCAACTGTGGCAGCAGCACAATTGAAGTTGTTCCTTTAACCATCAAAGTGGCTTTTAATGAAAGCACAGTGATGCAGCGTTATGTCCTTTTGCTTGCACAGAACTGATCAGAGGCTCTGTAGTGGCTCTTAGCAGCAAAGCTTCAAACAGATGGAGGGGAAAAGTGTTTCCATCAGTCATGACATACCCAACACCCTGTGCAATGAAGATGCTACGTATTTTAACGGTCTATTTCTGTTAGTAATGTCAGGGTCACACATCTGATTTAGCACTCGCCTCTTTCAGCTGCTGTGGCCGAACCTGCCAGCAGCGAGGTAGCTACCTCTTCAGACAACCCCAGCTACTTTGTCCGGTTGGGGAAACTCTCCACTAAGGTACAGGAACGAGCTCTTCAGCACTCTTTGGATCGGGCACGTCACTACCGGGACGCGGCCTATGGTACGGTGGCTCAGATTACCAACACTCTGGACCTGCTAGAAAGCGCCCGCGCCAGTCTCGGTTCAGCAGGTAACCAGATAGGAGGAGCCTCTGAGACACTCCTGCAGCGCTGGACCGAGTGGAAGCAGAAGTACGGAGGACATGATGGGCAGACGGAGTCTGAGCCAGACGGGACCAAAAACGAGTCTGAGGTCAGGACCGAAAGTCTTTGAAACAGATTATTCAGCTGTGTTTTACAGATATATTTCATAGCAGCATTTTTACTTTGACCTCCTAAGACCCGAACTCTTTCATGTCATGCATTTTTAATTTCTTTGCTATTTGGGCTGATTGGAACGTGATGAAGGTAAAAACAAAGAATTACCTGATTTATTTATTGATATTTTTTTTAACCTGATTTTTGTTTCTTAGAAAATGAGATCCACATATGAGAACATTTGTTTAAAATTTTGATAGCACAGTGGCAGTGTAATGCCCACCTAAGTGGAAATCAGGCCCTTGTAGAGCAAAATTTAGTATTGTGGTCTAGACAACCCAAAATGTGATGTCCACATTTGACCTCTGACCTCTCCTTCAAGGTAAATAGACTGATTTTTGAAGGTTGAAGTGATAATGTATAATGTGTAGAGCCACCTTCTGACCTCCTCAAGGTCATAAGGTCAAATTTTCATGTCTTTTGTTTCAAACGGCTTAATTCTTTTGCCTTTTGTTTGTCCTGGCAACATTTACATTTCACATCTGCCTGTCTGTCAAGTTGATCACAGAATGTGTGTGTTAAAGACATTATTGTCAAAAGGAAGGGAATGAGCTGCCTAGTTAATTAGAAATGTATTATATGATATAATCTCTATGAATAATGTCCAGTTACTTGCAGATCAATCCACGATCTGCTCCTAGATAATGTTTGTCTTTACTGCACTAAAAACTTGTTGAAGTACATTTAAAAAGAACAAGGAAACAATATTAATATATCCCCTTAAATAAATGCTGCCCAGAGAGTGAGCTTGCTTGGCATAGGTTCACACTCTGAGAGCTTTTTATTTACTTTCCACCGTCATTTCCTTCTGTGTCATTGTTGTGCTGTTTACATTTGGACTGCCCCGTTATCTTAGCTTTACATTTTATTCATTTGGTTTTTGTTTCCACTTACGTTCACAGCAGCTTGAAAGGCAGACCCTCTCTATGGTGCGTGGTCTGAGCGACCAGCTGCGGTCGGCGTGTGCCAGCGTGGTTTCAAGTGCTAAAGGTCTGCCGAGCACAGTCCAGGACCAGCTGACCGCGGCTCGACAGTCTGCCGAGGAGCTGTATTCCTCTCTGAGGAACACGAGCACCATCACGCCGGTCCTCCTCGATCGGAGCCGTCATCAGCTGAACCAAGTACGCGTCATGCTTTGCTGTCTTTACTGCTCCAGCTGTGCAGCTGCTTAATTAAATGTAGCTCATAGCTCGAGTTTTTAGTTTCACCCACAGCGCCACCACTCTCCACGTTAGTTCTTATGTAATGTCACTGGAAAGTCCCATGCACTGCTGACGCTACAACATACCAACCACTTTATTAGGTACATCTTGCTACTGCTGTGTTGAACCCTCTCTTCTTCTTCTTTTTTTTTTTTCTTTTTTTTGTACAAGGCCTAATTACTGGTATTTGAGTTACTGTTGTTTTCATGTGAGCTCAACACAGTCTGGCAGCAAGGTCTGGTTATTTTCCTGTGACGTCACCAGGCATTTTTATCTGGAGAACTGCTGTCTTACACATTGGATAATATTATTAATTTATTTGTTGGACCATTCTTAATCCTGGATATGGTCGTGTAGGGAAAAGCCCAACAGATCAGCAGTTTCTAATCGTCTTTCTTTCCCATTCTGATGCTCCATCTGAACCTCAGCAGGTCGTCTTGACCACATCGAAATGCAGAGAGTGGCTTCCATGTAATTTGCTGATTAGCTATTTGCATTAACAATCTGCTAATAAAGTGGCTAGTCAGTGCAACTAATTTGTTTTCAATCTCTGATGGTGCTCAGTATTATTTCAGATCATTTATCCTCTTATTAACTGTACATTTTTATTAAAACTGTACTGTTGTGTGTGTCCATCCCAGGTTCAGAAGTCTGTGGATGGTGTCATGGACTATCTACTGCACAACACGCCGCTCAACTGGCTGGTGGGACCGTTCGCTCCTCAGATCACTGAGCATGCAGAGGGCGACGTGGCAGAGAAGCCCGGACCAAACGAGTAGACGCGAAGACTTCCTGTGCTCCTCTGAGATGATTCAAAGTGGTGTTAGGGGACTATTTCTAGATGTTGATGAACCAGCTCAAAATAGGTGCCATAATATTCATGAAAAACTGTCATCATCATCATAATTCTATCAGTTTTTGACACTACATTTATCATGCAGAAGTTAAAATCTAAAATGTGGCCTTAGGAAATGATTGTTTTGCACTTTATTATTTATGGTAGATTTGTTGGGGGGGTTTTTTTTGTTGTGTTTTGTTAATCTCTGAAAGATTAATCTGTGTCTTTAAACGTTTTTGTTTGGAAGGAATTCAAAACCTTCCCAAAACAAAGTAAAATCTAGTGGCGTATAGGAAAAATAATATAGAAAAGACATGAGGACATCTTGAATCAGATGCATTTAATTTGTTTTCGAATTTTACCTTCAGTATTCTCTTTCTGGAAAGAGTTAATTGTCATTAAACTGATATGTAAATAAATTTCTAACACTGCAGAATCATGTATGAGCGAGTGACTCTTTATTTATGTTTGGAAACAGCCTCACACACAGGTTAGAAACAGGAGATGGTGTCAAACAGAAAAATGAGGATAAAAATAAGTCTAGAGAGATCATTTGTTTTGTGAAGAAGAAATGATTGATTTCCCTGTTTCATCACAAAAATGGAAGTCTTTTTGTGGATGTGGAACTCAAGAAGCAGCATTAGATCAATAACATAAAACAAATTAACTGTAAGATTAAAACGCCTAAATAAAAAGGCCAAAGTCAGGGATCGTGTCCACAGAGGGACTGGGGCCGAACGATGCTGTTCTGACCTTGTGTGTGATGATCAGCTGTGGTGGAGGTGGTGTAGGTGTAGTTTGCTGTGCTGGCCCGTCGCTCTGAGGGCTGACATTGGCGGTGACGTCATGGTCGTTGTTTCGAATGTCGGGAGCTAGCGCTGGGTAGGAGGCCGCGCGCTCTGCTGGGGACACAGCTCACTCAAATCTGAACCCCTCCGTCGTCGACAGCCGCCGATTAACTACGTTTCAGGTAATGTCTTCATTCCCGACTGATTCGGCAGATTCCCGGGATGTGGTACCGATCATAAACCCAGCCGGGACGCTGTTGGAAGGCGCTCTAGTTTTGGGTTGGCTGACTGCGTTAGCAACTCTGCTAACAGATAGCCCGCTAACACTAGCGTTTATTCGATTGAAAAGCCGCGATCTGCGTATAGTTCGTCACCAAGGACGCTGTAGCATTTAACTTTCGTATTTTTCACGATGACACAGGGCCACCGGTCGAGTTTCGTCCTTCCTTTTACACCTGTATGCAGTGTCAGACAGACCAAACGTCCAGCGAGGCTGTTTGCTAATGTTTGCTGTGAGCTATTCAAGCACAGGACGCCAATTGTTTTCTTGTGCGGACAAACTCGGACTGGGAACAGCCAGCTGGAAGTTGTTCGGCTAAACTGCACGCAGCGCAGTTTTAACGTTAGCCAGCGCGTCGGTATTTAAGGTTTCGTACTGACGGGGTTTTTGTTTTATTCTTGTTGTCTTTTTCACAACTTTCTCCATGACCAAAAACGTCTTGTGCGGCGGAAGAAAGCGCGAAACAGCTGAGTTAGCGCATGTTTCACACACCGTCATTTACCTTCTAGGGTGTGTGTGTGCGGCTCTTTGGACCCTTTGTTTCCGTCACCGTGCACAGCTCTCCGTGTTTGTTCAAACTAATCCCACAGCTTCCTACTTTTAAAACTCGTGCTTGCTTTGATGTTGTAAGAGGTGCAGTACATTTGGCGATCCGTTTCACTGGTATTTCTATTGCTGCTACGTTTTTGTGTTTTCTAATAATTTTGAAGCATAGTTTATTTATTAGTATTTTCAGTGTGCCAAAGTCCAGGCCTGATTTTGCAGTAATCGTGGACTTTGGCCTTCAGAAGTTGGGGTTGGTCTTAATTTTGGTTTATGAAGTTTATAAAACTGCGACAGACCTTCATTACAGCTGCAAGTAGTGGACCATAACCTTTAATTCACAAAGACCTCTTTTCCACTTGTCCAGTGCCTAATCTAGAGCTGGTTCAATGCATTCCAGTAAATGGGGGGGAGGGATGACTACTTTCTGTGCCAGAAAAGTGTGAACCAGCTCAGTGCTGCAAATTTACTGGTTGTAAAAGTTGGAAGGGGCTTTAGCTAGAAAGTAACAGTATTTGCCAAATAAGCCCCAGGATTTGTCTGCTGTGATTGTCTTTTTTCTTTAAGCTATGTAACGATCAGTCCTCAAGCCTTTCAGAGCTGGACTGGCTCTGTGTCGGTGCAAAAGAGGTAAAAGAAGTCATGATGTGCTCAAACTCTACTCTCATGCTGCAATGCCAATCTCCAAGCTCTTTTAGCTCCAACCTAAAAGCTTTGTAATCAAACAGGGACTGCTAATTATTCTCACTAACTTCTGCAACCCCATTTTCAGGATTATCCTCTCCCATCCCCCTTACCCCCTCTGTCAGAGCATGGCTCAGGAGACCAATCAGACGCAGGTGCCAATGCTTTGCACTATGGGATGCGGTTTCTATGGTAACCCCCGCACCAACGGCATGTGCTCGGTCTGCTACAAGGAACACCTGCAGAGACAACAGGGAGGGGGGCGGTCCAGCCCCCCTGGAGAGAAAGGTAGGAAGATGGGAGAGACATGACCTATAAAAAGCAGGGGTCTGCTGGATAAGGGTGTACCAGGTGAATAAGTCAGGAGCTTTTAAATGGGAGTCACTCAAAAAGTGCACTGGAAATAGGGAGCCGAACTAGCTAAAAGGGGCTGGAGAACAGAGGTAGCATTAGCTGCCTACACTGTGGCATCAGAAAGCAAGAGAGTTACATTGCCATCTGTTGTTGTACATTAACTCAAAGTGCATCTGATCATGGTAAACAAATACATGTAGGGAATGTCAAGACGCTTAGAAGCAAGTGGAAAGTCATCCATGTGTGAGGCAACAACAGATTTTTGTGACTGATCTGACTGTCCTCCCCCCTCCCCGACACACACATGCGTGCACACAGCTGCTACTTCACCAGCGGGATCACCAGGATCGGCCGGTACAACTGTGGAGAGCACAACCTCAGAGCCCAGTACAGAGGTGGCAGGAACCCCACCTGAGGAACAAACAACCAGGTATGCTGAGTTACGCGTAGAAAAGCGCCGAGAGCCGTGTTGTTTCATTGAGTCATTGTGAATCAGTGTTTTAGATGTGATTCATCAAGGAAAAATATACTCCGTGTTGGCTCTTTGACTAGTCCAGTCAGTTCATGCTAGTACCGCAGTTTGCCTCTGCAGAAGGGTAGGCAGTTGTGTGCATATTTATTTATGAAAACAAAACCTTCTATCACCATGGTGCAGTCATTTTCTGGGTGAAAACATTTTTACCTTACCCTGACGACCCCAACCTTCTAGTAAGAACTTTTCAGCTATTTCAATTTGCACGTCGACATTGACAGGTGAGGTTGTGATGAGCTTCTGATGATTATCAAAAGCCAAATTAAGTGTACGATGGGCTGTGTTGTCATTGACACTGGAAGAAAATTAGCTAGAGGATGGTGTAGTTTAAAACTTAGCTTGAGGCCCTGTTCTGAAAAACTGCAGCGTAATGCTGAATAATTTTTTGCTGGCCAAGTTCTTTTTCTGCTATTCGGCGTTTTGAAGGGCCTCTTTTATGATTTGCTTTAACTTTACCATTGGGCTAACCTTTTTAAATGTTAAAAATGGATTTAATTCATTGTGAGGAAAGTGCGATAGGTAAGAAAAGTTCTGCGAGGCTCTTGAAATTGCTAAAAATGGTTTTATATTGCAGCGTGTGCACTGGATCTGTTTCCTCCCAAAGGGGACAAAACCAAAGCAAAGAGAGTACCAAGATAAATTTAATCATTTCAATTCTTTGTTTTTTGTTTTTTTTTTGTGTGTGTGTTTTTTCAGTATTTTTATTTAATCTAAACTGAAATTTGCTGACTTGATTTGATGCCCTGTTAGTCCCAGCTCCACCAGCCCAGTAACTCAACAGATGACAGCTATGAGCATCTCCCAGGATTCAGGAGCTGTGGATTCTGATCGAGCAGAAGCCGAGGAGGGTGAAGAGGAGGGTACTTCAAACAGCACAGGTAAACATCGTAGAAAGCAGTAGTTCATTCCCTACCCACCGTCCACACGGTCGGCCCTACTCAAAGCAGAGGAGTACACTATTAAGAACTGCTGCGTGAATAAACAATGGGACACACTCGCCACCGTGTTCCGGGAGCGTGCCTGAAGTGATAAACACAATATGCTCTGTGATGACTCCATTGGTTTTCCCGTTTTATTTCATTTTGCCTTCTGCTTTGTGGCATGTTCTGTGTTACAGTCAAATAACTGTGTAAGGAAATCGTGTTTTTACGTGTTTAAATAATATTTTATAAAGCTTAAGTTACGGCCTCTGATCCGGCTAGCATATTTGATTGGTTGAAGTTAATTGTGTTGTCTTTTGTACATGTGCATAAATAAACATACAGCTGTTTTACATACGGTTGCTTTATTTTTCCCCACCAGAGCCAGTCGGGGAAGCTGCGCAGGCTTCGTCTGATGGCGACCAGACTCCTGATAAAAACAAGAAAAAGAATCGCTGCTTTTCTTGCCGGAAGAAAGTAGGACTTACTGGTAAGTGAGGGAAGAATTTCACTCAAGTTTCTTATCTGTTTATCCTGTGTTTTATGAGTCGGCAGGGGTTCCTCACCCCTAATAAGACATTGATTTGGCACACGGATGTATGTGGTGCAATGTCAAAGACATCTTTAATAGTCTTCGTCTGCAGAGCTTTTGGAGCTAAACCTGTTTTTAAAGGACAATAATGACAGCTGCACACAAATGATTCATATGTGCATTTATTCTGTGATGATTGCTTATGTACAGCGAGCGACATTCTGCACTTAAGTGATACATTTCACAGTGTGCAGCTCGGTCCTTTTTTTTTTTTTTTGCTTCATAGGAGACTCTGAGACTTAATAGCAATGATTATATATCAGCTTAATTGAGACCACATCCTGAGTTAGCATGTAAAATTGGGCAACAGCATCAAGGCCCAGTCAAACTGAATTTAATTAAAACCTTACACAGGGCAGTGTAAAAATTAGTCTGTAAAATAATCGGGATGTAGTAGGACTGGGTGATGCATTTCTTTCTTTTTTAATATAGCCTCAGTCTCCCTCTGCACCTCGAGCTGACTCTGGTTTCCTGCAGCTTGGAGAGAGACACAGGGCTGTTCCCAACAATGAAAAATAACTCTTTAGTTTACGGATAGACAGCATGAAAACTGAGTTTTCATAATGTGTGTGTGTGTGTGTAACCAAAGCTTATTAACTTTTGGAAATGGTACGCTAAAAAGAAGTCGGTGAATTTTACCTCACAGAAGTTGGAAGATCTGAACCAAGTCATGTGGTGAGATTTACCGACCTAACAAGGCAGCAGTCAAGGAACAATTGCCGTATTTTTTTTTTTAAGGTCAAATGAATGTTTTTGTCAGTGGTGTCTTAGTAGTCTGGTCTGATGGCAGGTAATGCATCTAATATGCTGTATATAAACCCAAACATATGTGGGTTTTACTGCTGGCCCTATCTACTGCAGCACATAGTTTCCTTGCTGCTCTGTCCTCTTGTCTGCTCTAACACACTGATTTGGGGTCAGCACCCGAGAAATGAAACAATCCCAAATTGAAGAAAATAGCCATTCTGCCCCAAAACGAGATGTGAGTTTTGGTCTCTGGTGTCCAGATACATGTGATATCTATAATAAAGCGTCCAAGTTTAATTGCTTCTTTTTCCTCAAGGTTTTGACTGTCGCTGTGGCAACCTGTTCTGCGCCATCCATCGTTACTCCGACAAACACGACTGTCCCTATGATTACCGGAGCGCAGCCGCTGCCCAGTTACGCAAGGAGAACCCCATCGTAGTGGCTGAGAAGATTCAGAAGTTATGAGGACTGAGAGCAAAAAAGAAGTTTCTGACTTTGTGAATTTGAACAATGGCGACTTGGATGAAAACACCTGATATCGTGGCTTCATTTGTTCATGGTAGTGTAAAGCGGGCGGGGTGGGGGTGGTGCGGTCGCAGCCACAGTCCAGACACTTCCCTTACTAGCATCTCCCTCTCTCTCCACTTGTGGCTGCAGCGCGCGCGTGTGTTTGTATGAAAGTGTGTGTGTGCGTGCACATTTGCTTGAGAGCTGGGGAGAGAGCCATGAGGGCTTGGTGGACATTTGTTTTGCCTTGGGAAGGGCAGGAATTTGATTTTTACCCCTTTTTGTTTTTTTTGTTGTTGTTGTTTTTCCACTTAGCGGGATCGTGTGAGTGTATTTTTTTTTTTTAATATACAATCCCTGTAGGTAGCTGAAATGAACGAGGATAAGCTGTTAAGGAATGTGTCAATCGGGATAATGACAGAAACACATTTAGGGGGTCTAGTGACTCATGTATCAGCAAGACCTTTAAGGGCTTTGGAATATAGTATTTTATCCCAGACTGAAAAATGATGTCAACTACTTGTCAAATTGGCAACTCCTTTACTCTGTGGGCGACCACATGTAGTACTCCAAAGTCTGAGTTTTCCACATGCGTCTCTCTTTGATATGTAGGCTTGTATGGATACCGGGTGCATGAACAGTCATTGGAAGGGGAAAGCCAGGGAGGGAAACAAACGACCTTGACTTAACTGTGTGATTGATTTTTTTTTTTCTTCTTTATTTTAATGAGCGTATGACATCAGAAGATCTATATTAATATATTGTAGTTAGCTTGAATTGTGTGATTGCATTCTATTTATTTTTTATTATTTGGTTGGTCTGGAGGATTGGCAGCATGTGTCCGCGAATCTTTAACGATTTGCTCTTAACTTTTTCTTCGATTATATTTAAGTAATTCCATCCTGATTATGTAACCAGTGAAGAAGAAAATGCGCGCCCGAGCTCTGACGTGACGGAGCGGAGCCCGGCCGAGCCGCTCGGAGGGAGCGAGTGCAGTAGGATGTCAGTGATTAAGGCTTTGGGTATGAAGCACAACGACGTATGTCCGCTGCAGAGCACAAGCTACGGTGCCATGCCCGCTCAGTTTTGTTCAGCATTCGGGTCACTTGCAGTTTATATCCGAGCTGTATCGCAGCCTTGCTGATGAAATTGCCTTGTCGAGTTGCTGAGATTTTCTTCTTCGGTAAGGCGGCGCGCTCGCCTCGAATGACCTTTTATGTTCTTCGGAGCCTGTATGAAGCTCCACGTTTCTCCTACCACCAGCAGACCACTGACACATGCTGAATGAAAACTGACCCGGGTCGCAGTTGCTCTCATAGACGATGGCGTACGTTCTGCTCAGCGTTGCAGTGCCGCAGAGTTGCGTGCTGTGCTTTTACAGTGTGCTCAGACTGCTTCTAGCTAGCTTCTACTAGGAAGATCAGTCCCACGTGCATGTGTGCAGTCAAACACGCGTTGCTGTTTTGTGACCGCGTAGTTTGAAATGAAGCTGGAATGTTTAAAAAGCCGCACAGCAGTAGCACAATGCATGGCCGGAACCGTAAGGTTCCTGTTAACAGGACTCTGTTTTTTTTTTCCTCAAATGTAAATACCATACAGCTCCTCTTCTTATAGTATAACCTCAATGTAGATTTTTGCCAGGTAATAAAGGTGGGGAATTAAGGCAACAAATAGTACTCTCTGTATTAAAGTGCTTTTCATAATTATCCAAAAAAATGTGCTACAACTAGCACTGATGTTTTCCCCATCTTGTTTCCTCATTAATTTTTCAGGTTTTTACGTGTAATGTTCAAATTGTTTAATAACCACTAGTATCCCCTGCAGGCCACGTGGTTTCTATTTTACCATACTAGCTACACTCTTAACCAGCCCCCCCTCCTCCCTCCCGAGCTATATTAACGTTGCTGAATAACAGAGTATCTCAGTCAGAGCTTTTATCCTGTTACTGATTTGTAGCAATAGCGATATTACTGAAAGTTTAAAGGGCCCCAAGCAAGAAATAGAGGGTTCATCTTTTCATTATTAAAAGCTTTCCCTGTAAATGTTGCTTGATGCGGTTCATTATATATTAATGAAAGCTGGAGAAAAGTTGCATTTGAATTTTCAGGGAATGCAATTTAAAAATAATCCACCGCAAAAGGCGAAAGAGAGGAATCACACTCCTCCGTGTGTCGGCTTAGTTCTGCCTCTTCTGATTGAAAAAGAGCCTTCGTCGAGTCTTTGCGTTAATGGCCGACGTGATGACTTGGCATGCCGACGGCGAGACGTTTTGCCGTGGATGAGTTGAGCCCGCAGTGACGGTGATTTAACTTCTTCCACCGTCACACCTACAGTGTAAATTTCAAATTGAGAAGGTGTTAACTGTGATATTCAGGGGGACGAGTGGTTGGTGCTGCTCTGCAGTTCGTTGTGTTTTAGACACAGAATTCTCAGACTTGGTTGATGATTATAAAACATCGTTGCATACGGTAAGCTCGGTTTTCCTTTACAGATTAATTGTCTCTTCATGGGAGAATTTTCCTGTGATGATTGTTCAGTTATGTAAATCATGGGGGGTTGCATGGTTAACGCTCGTTTTCTATTGACTGCTCATATCAGTGCTCCAAACGTTTCAGCATGTTTTTCCTGATAAATGTGAGCAGTTTGAATGTAAACCACCACAAGTCACACGATAAGTCGTGTTGCCGTCAGACTGACTGTCCGTTGGCCGACGATGGTTGTCTTTATGTGATTTGAGACATTTGAATCATTCAAATCTTTTGACTGTTTGACTTGCCACCAGCAATTAGGGCTACGTGACCTGAGTAACTGAGATATTATCAGTGCATATACTTGTGTTTTGTTTGGGTTTTTTTCCCCCCCTTTTTTGTTGCATTGATTATTGTTTGATGTTCTCACACCTTTCATAATCAGTGTCTTCATCATGCAAGGGTTTTGATTGAGAATAATAAACTTGTGAGTTAGGATGAATTTTCTTCAGCTTCACTGCAGGAATAAAGACATATTATTCTGTCTTTCAAGATGAGCTTTAGGGACTTGAGATGAAATCTACGATGTTCACAGAGGTGTAGTTGCCGTCCCTTGGCACTCCAGTCCCCCAGAAACACCACCAGATATCTTTTTATTTTTTCTTTTAAGAGTTAGGATTGTATGATGTGTAAGAGTAAGTATAAACAATAAAATCACAAAGTTTATTTTAATTTACACTTGTCGTTTGTATTTATTTGTCTTAATGTATGCTAAATAAATACTCATTTTAAATCCAAGCTCCTTGCACTCTGCTTTAGAAGAAAACCTCAGTATTTTACTGTGATACAAGCTGCATGTGGAGATGTGGAAATATACGCGTTTTTACAGCTAATGTAGTTGTGCTGTTATCACCACAGCGGGAAAAGCGTATTTAACTGTTATAAATGACTTTTCTATGATTTTTCACATTTTTGTAAAGCCATCAAGTGGGCCAGTTCGTAGCCTTTGGAGGTCTTGTTCTGATCTTTCTGCAGTTTGACAGCCCTGCCCTAAGACGTAGGGGCGCCACAGGTCAATAAAGGTTATCACCTTTATCCATACTACTTTCAGATCTCCCAGAATGCTTCTGTCTATAGAACAAGGGCTTACTTTGAGTATAAACATGCCTCTGCACTCATAAAATCATTCCCAGGTCAACACGTACAACACCAAAACACAGAATGAGGAAATATCTTTTGAAGGAATGACTCAAAGGGGCGGAATGACAGGAATGACACCGGGGGCGGTCGTGGCTCAAAGAGTTGGCAGTTCGTCTTGTAACCGGAAGGTTGCCAGTTCGAGCCCCGGCTCGGTCGTTGTGTCCTTGGGCAAGACACTTCACCTACCGCCTACTGGTGATGGCCAGAGGGGCCGATATCCATTATTATTATTATTATTATTATTATTATTATTATCAAAGCCTTTCTCTAGCACATGGAGACCACGTTAATTTTTTCATTTATTCTGTTATCTGTCTGAATAATATCAGTTTGATATAGGATATTCCTGTGTTATTATGTATAATTAAGCCCGTTTATTTACATGTATAAGATATCCATCCTACTTCCATCATGATTTAGTCATTAAAGTTAACAATTACAAGTTACATTCTAGGCAGTAGCTTTGTTGTTTGATGTCATCCAGTGTTTAATAAAGGGCAAAAAAAAAAGTTAGACCTCCTCCTCGGGGCCCTGTGGGTTTGTACTGATGTGCCTAATGGACCTTAAGATAAGATAACTCTTTATTGTCATTGCACAGTCGTACATAGTACAATAGTCCAATGAAATTGGAAAACTGTCCTACGTCGACACTACATATAACACAACATGACCCGATACGACACATCACAATGCAACACAAACAACACAACACAACACAGTATAATAACTTAGTAATAAAAAATAAGAATAAGTGTATTTGTATTACACACTGTTATTATTGCACATTAATTGTTATTGCACCTTGTTATAAATATAAATA